GATGGATGGATGAGGTGGATGGATGAGGTGGATGGATGGATGAGGTGGATGGATGAGGCTGATGGATGAGACGGATGGCTGGATGAGACGGATGGCTGGATGAAATGGATGGATGGATGAGACGGATGGCTTGATGAGACGGATGGATGAGGCGGATGGATGGATGAGGTGGATGGCTGGATGAGACGGATGGATGCACACAAACAAAAATTCTGTCCGTGCAGAAGTCAATATTTGGATTGTCAACACTTCTCCTAAAATGATTCCTTTTTTAACAGCTTTTTTTTTTTTATTCTGTCAATTCAAATGAACGTACAGCCCACGGGGTACAATGTGACGCCTAGCAACGTGACCTTCCCGCTTTTGTTACAATCTTAGTAAATTTAGCAATGCTATTATATTATCTTAATATCCATTGATAGCTAGTATTTAAATCCAAACATCAATGTAGTTGATTAACGAGATCAACTCTCCACACCGGTATGCATGTATTCTCACAGAGATTAGAGAGCCACTCCGACTACGTCTACCTGGTCTACTATGTGGGGGATTGCACGACAGAGGTGAACCTTCTCTACAGCCCAGTTGTTTTAGTACCTGACCAGAGTTGTTGAGACCTTACGACAGAGGTGAGACTTTACTACAGCCCAGTTGTTTTAGTACCTGACCGAAGTTGTTGAGACTGCCGGACAGAGGTGAGCCTTCACTACAGCCCAGTTGTTTTAGTACCTGACCGAAGTTGTTGAGACTGCCCGACAGAGTTGAGACTTCACTACAGTCCAGTTGTTTTAGTACCTGACCAGAGTTGTTGAGACTGCCCGACAGAGGTGAGACTTCACTACAGTCCAGTTGTTTTAGTACCTGACCAGAGTTGTTGAGACTGCACGACAGGGGAGAACCTCACTTTCAGCTCAACCATGTTAGTGCATGACCAGAATTGTTGAAAGATGGTCCAAACACTAGAAGTCTTCTGTTAGTGACGCAAGTGGTCTTTGACCCTGTGGTGACGCCGTCTGAAAAAGTCAGCTACCCAAAATTTCGGGATATGAGCTAATGGGTGATGATGGTATGACCAGTTTTTGAAATATACTTGAAAATTAAATTTGAATTGTCAAAAATATACGTTGGTTTGCTTTTTATTGAATCTGACGCAATCACTTTATAGAAAATATCCTTAAGCGTATAAGGTAACAAATTAATAGACAGCTGGCTCATTAACTAGTTATTAAATTCCATTTATTTAACCATCAGAAATCAATTGTTAGTCACGTGATGTGAACTTAAGCCACACCTCCTAGCAGCAGACTTAGAACAATGGTAAGGTGTATGAGCATATACACAACTTCAGCAAAAAAAAAAATGGGGAATTTTTCAATTTTCTGTCTGTATTTGGATTATTTAAAATTTGTTAAAATAAAATTTAAAAAATAACATGTGTATTTGGTTAAAATATTTTTATTGAACTTCCTGTTATAGCTATTCATTACAGCAATATGCCAAAATTATTTAATCATAATGATAAGACTCGATTATTGAATTTTTTAATTTTACCCCCAAAATTAGAAGCATGATGAAATAATTATAAAAAACCTAAAATGTGTAAAATATGGAATGTTTTTTTTTTTTTTTATTTTAAGTAACAAACTTGATTGATAAAGGGAATTATCATTTACGGTACAAATCTTTTTTACTTAGAAATTTTAAGAGTTATTTCTCTTTAAAATTTAGTTTGTTTTTTTAGTCAAGTCCTATAACTAAAGTTTTCAAAATGTTGGGTGGTTCATGAAACTGGTTCAAATTTAAGTAAAACATCAGGTCAGTTCATCACAGGAGAGGGAAGTGAATGAGGGAAGTGAAAGAGGGGGGTTAAAGAGGGGAATGAATAAGTGGAAAATTGGAAGCTTAAGGTGAGAGAAAAAGTTATTTCACAAGCTGCTACAAAAGATTTTTTTTTAAATTTTTCATTAGTTAACTTTGTGGCTTGTTATTTCTGTATAACTTTAACTTTCCATTGACCACCTGGCAAGTCATCAACTTCAACTCTTCAAAGACCACCTGGGAGGTCATCAAATTCATCTCTCCATTGACCACCTGGCAGGTCATCAACTTCAACTCTCCATTGACCACCTGGCAGGTCATCAACTTCAACTCTCCATTGACCACCTGGCAGGTCATCAACTTCAACTCTTGATTGACCACCTGGCAGGTCATCAAGATTCATGCCCATAATTTTCTCACTAATTGCATCAAATCACCAAACAATATAACAGACCAATATTTTTGTTATGGTATTGAAAAAACAGACACAAACATATCCCCCCCCCCTCCCAATAGTGGCAGGTCATATTTATATTTTACAAATTGCAAACAAGTGGACAGAAAATTATGTTCCATTGAGTGGGTATGTAAAAGAGTAAAACTGAAATGTCATTACTTGGGGATGTGATGGCTTTCAGCTCCAAAAACTGTTTTATCACAGAACGTTGTCCCTATTACGACAATTTAAATTCTCAAAAAAAGATAGATATCCTTATTCACAAAAACTAAAGTCACTTCAAGTTACTTCAACCACACCAAGTGTGAGGGCCATTTTAACCACATTTAATTTTTTTTTTTTTTACAAACAGCCAACCTTTAACATTTCCTTTACTCTAATTAACAAAAACTTGAACAAAAGAGACTAAAATATTGAAAGTAAGCATTAAAATAAAATAAATTTAATATTAATAATGATATAAAAAAAAATGATTGTCTGGTTACATTTCAACAACCATGCACAATCTTAGACTAGATATGACAACAATTAGGCTTACACCATAAGAATGGCAATCACATAGGATAGACACATATAGGATACACATGCATAGCATAGACACACATAGGATAGATACTTATACCATAAGATAGAAATGTATAGCATAGTCATGCATAGGATAGACATGCTTAGGATAGAAACTGTCATGTAGGTTAGACACAGACAGGATAGGCTGTCACATAGAAGAGACACCATCCTATAAGATATATTTGCATAGGATAGAAACTGTCGCATAGGATAGACACACATAGGATAAACACTGTCACATAGTATATACATGCATAGGATAGACAATGTCACATAGGACATAAATGCATAAGATGGCCACTGTTAAATAGGATAGACACACAAAGGATAGACACGCGTAGGATAGACATAGTATCCTGTAGAGCAGGCAAACAACAACAAAAATTAGGTTGATAATAAAAATGAGCTGCTCATGAAAGAACTCTGTAAATTTTAGACAGAAAATAATGTTATGTCAGGAAATAAAAGAACTAATACTAAAAAACTTGTAAAGAATTTGTTTAGAGAAGAGCCTTTGTTTTTTTTTAAAGACATTATTATTTGGCCTGTATGCATTGAACTTTCTTTAAGTAACTTCATATTATAATGCTCAAAGTGAAAGACAAGATCAACACAAGTTCTTACCTTTTCAATAATCGTTATCTTTCTGTTTTAATTTATTGCATAGGGCTCTTTGATTTTTTCAAAAAGATTTTAATATTTTCTCCCCTTCAAATTAATTTTCAAATATAACTAAGCAGAATTCATCATAGTTTTAACATACAAAACAGTTAAAGTGATGCTTACGATGGCAGAATTCATCATAGTTTTAACATACAAAACAGTTAAAGTGATGCTTACGATGGCAGAATTCATCATAGTTTTAACATACAAAACAGTTAAAGTGATGCTTACGATGACAACCAAAAAATAAATCTTAAAGAAATAGTAATAAGAAATCTCACTTTATGACAGTCGTTATTTGAAATACATAAATTGAGAGTAGTCAGAATTCTAAATAAACACAAACCCCACCCACGAATTCATTTATCCCTACGCCAAACTAACACGAACCCCACCCACGAATTCATTTATCCCTACGCCAAACTAACATGGACACCACCCACGAATTCATTTATCCCTACGCCAAACTAACATGGACACCACCCACGAATTCATTTATCCCTACGCCAAACTAACATGGACACCACCCACGACTTCATTTATCCCTACCCCAAACTAACACGGACACCACCCACGACTTCATATATCCCTACCCCAAACTAACACAGACACCACCCACGACTTCATTTATCCCTACCCCAACCTAACATGGACACAACTTCATATATCCCTACCCCAAACTAACACAGACACCACCCACAACTTCATTTATCTCTACCCCAAACTAACATGGACACGACTTCATATATCCCTACCCCAAACTAACACAGACACCACCCATGACTTCATCTATCCCTACCCCAAACTAACACCCATTCAGTATTTAAAAGTGTATGTCAAGCTCTAGCTAAAACAAAAAAAAGCGTATTTTTTGGTACTACCACCAACCAATTTTTGTTAAAAAAAATCCTCAAATCCAGTACTTGAATTGAGAGCTCTTGAAATGATGTGTTTGTGGTAGAACACTTATGTGATCACCTGTCTGTTAGATCAGGTTTCTACTGAAATGATGTGTTTGTGGTAGAACACTTATGTGATGAACTGTCTGTTAGATCAAGTTTCTACTAAAATGATGTGTTTGTGGTAGAACACTTATGTGATGAACTGTCTGTTAGATCAGGTTTCTACTGAAATGATGTGTTTGTGGTAGAACACTTATGTGATCACCTATCTGTTAGACCAGGTTTCTACTGAAATGATGTGTTTGTGGTAGAACACTTATGTGATCACCTATCTGTTAGACCAGGTTTCTACTGAAATGATGTGTTTGTGGTAGAACACTTATGTGATCACCTATCTGTTAGACCAGGTTTCTACTGAAATGATGTGTTTGTGGTAGAACACTTATGTGATCACCTATCTGTTAGACCAGGTTTCTACTGAAATGATGTGTTTGTGGTAGAACACTTATGTGATCACCTGTCTGTTAGACCAGGTTTCTACTGAAATGATGTGTTTGTGGTAGAACACTTATGTGATCACCTGTCTGTTAGACCAGGTTTCTACTGAAATGATGTGTTTGTGGTAGAACACTTATGTGATCACCTGTCTGTTAGAGCAGGTTTCTACTGAAATGATGTGTTTGTGGTAGAACACTTATGTGATCACCTGTCTGTTAGACCAGGTTTCTACTGAAATGTTGTGCTTGTGGTAGAACACTTATGTGATCACCTGTCTGTTAGACCAGGTTTCTACTGAAGCAAAAAGTTTACAATGTTGCATAGTTTCTGGTGGTGGGATTACGCACATGATAACATCATATCAAATAAAATCACTTAACACCAGGGCTTAGTACACTCAGGTTTAGTTTCTTGGATATAAATTATAGAACCATCTGGTCCTAACCAAGTCTGAGAATTAGTCAGCTCCTGCATATTTACCTAGGAAATGAGCCTGGCATGGTAAACACGTAGATACTCTACATATAAAAGATTAGCTATGTAGGATAATATGACAATTGCCAATGTATGAGTGAGTGGGAGATCACCATTTTAATGTAATGCCCTTGGGTAAGGTCCCACAACTCATGATACCTACCAGCAAAAAAATTAGAATCACATGTTTTTGTTCTGACATCAACTAACACCAATCAGATAATCAGTCTCACTCAGTGAAGTTAAGAAAACGTACACTCTTTAACTTTCAATAAATTTCAATGAATAGTTTTGACATTTGAAATGTGATGGAAAGTAAGACATACTTGACAAACAGACAATATTTAGCAAATAATTGGTTTCTCTAAAGCACATGTGTCAAACTCCAGGCCCGCGGGCTACATCCCACCCTTCGTACAATTATATCAGGCCCATGAGGTCTTGACCGGCGTACAGTAATCCAAGTCAACACTATAATGTTTCCCAATGCACACTTTGCTGAAAAACTTAGCTTACTTCGCGTCGAGTTCGCATGGCGCTTTAGTGACTTTGAAGCACAGAAATGTAATTACGAGCTTTTTGTAACCCATTTGTCATAGACGTGGAAACTGCACCTGTAAATTTGCAGATGGAGCTAATAGATGGAGCTAATAGAGCTGCACTGTAATGGGACACTAAAGGCAAATTACGACACAGTTGGGCCTGCACAGTTCACTCGTTTCATTCCTGAAGAGATGCCTCAGCTTCGTCTATATGCGGCTCGAACCTTGAGCATGTTTGGTAGTACATATATGTGTCAGCGTCTGTATTCTGTGATGAACATTAACAAAACATCACACAGGCATCGTCTCACTGATGAACACTTGCAGTCCACCATGAAAATCTCAATGACACAGAACTTTCCCCCCAGCATGAACAAGCTTACTTGTTTTTGTAGCCATGTAAATGTGCCAAACATCCAGCTGGCTCTGACAAATTGGCATAAGAACGAAAATGGGCATGCCAATGATTTTTTTTATTTTTAAAACTTTTTTATGTTTTCATTTATATAAATGTTTTTAAAAAAACATAAATTTTCCGCTTATTGAATTTTTGTCCTGATCAGCCCACAACCATGCATATGATTAGAGTTTCGGCCTGCCGAGCGACTGAGTTTGACACCTTTGCTCTAAAGTTTTAGTTTAATGCCAAAGAATTAGCATCAAATTAAAAACAATAATAACTCATTTCAGCTATGCCAGAAATAAATATCTACAACTTTTATAGCATGGAGGTATTTACACAATTTATTTTAATTAGCTTCGGGTTATTTAAGGAAGGCACTTTGGCATGTGTGCTTCTAATAAGTATTTATGTTAGAATTATTCTCCATCGTCATAACATACAAAATTAAAATCCTTTTCACATTCATATTACTTCTTTCACTTACACAATCTCACACATTCATATTACTTCTTTCACGTACACAATCTCAGACAAGACAATTTTACAAAATTTGGTAGCAAATAACAAAATGTTTCAGACTGAGATAGTGAAGTAAACTGGCACAAACAACATTAGCAACTTATTATGAGTTTTGAGTTTACCAAAGATATGGCAAAAAGGCCTTTCTGTATGGTGGGTAGTTGGGAAAGTTTTCCCTGTACCACTTATGAGCAGTTACACTTACGACGGTCTGGTTGACCAAGACAAACAATGCCACTGAGATTAAATAGACGTTGCTGAACTTGAACACCAGACAATGGCTTATGTAGATGATGATTTCACACAAGAAATGTGGGCATGAGACGAGTTCAAACAAATGTCCATGGGGAATGAAATGACCAGTTGGCTTTTTATCTGAAATACAGAATTGAAATGAATTATTTATTGAAATAATTCCCTGACATAAAAACAGAGTTTAACAAATTTTAAAAGGTTGCTTTTTTTAAAAATGTTACCAAAATTGACAAGAGGTTGAGGTAATGTTATAGGTTGCCACTAAACCCCCCTCATCCACACATACACTGGACATGACATGACATGACATGACATGACAGCTATGATATTTAAGGCAACCTAAAAACCATGATGTTTATTACACCAAAAAGAAAATTAAAAAATTTTTTTTACCAAATCTAAAAAATGAAATTCACAAGAAAATACATGGAGGATATCCGAGATAGAATTTTTTTTATTTTTCACATTACAAACTCTAACTTAACTTGAATAATACAATATTAAATATTTTAAATTAATAAAATCTAATTTTCTAAACAACCAAAAACAATGCATGCTGTATATAAGGCTAAGGTCCCAAAACTGTGACTCCTTTAGATTTGTAATAATATCATCAAACAGCTGAATTAAAATGTACTTGACCTTTCTGCTCAAGCCTCAATGCGGCAAACGTTAACATGCTCTTGTGCTGGAAATGGGAGGCCCATAAAAATAATATGACAGCTAGGATGTAACGCACACTTTCAAGAAGGTTGGGGGCTGAAAGAATTTGAATCAGAATTAAGTTAACAATAAAACCGAAGCAATATTTCAATGGGAACATTAAACTCATTATTTATGCATTATTTATTAAGAGTTCATTGGTTTTTGTGCAAGTGATTCCAAGTGCTGGCATCAGATTCAGTTACAGTTGGTCCCTATGAGATTTTTTTTGTTTTAAGTGAGGACTTTATTCCTGATACAAACGTTTCCTGAGTACTTAATCAGTCACAGGGAAATATCTAACTTTTTTTTGTTTATCTTCCTATCAAGTTTCATTATTTACAAGACTTGTTGGCTACTTAACGTATCCAAACTAATTTTTATTTTATTAATCTGTATACAGAATATAGGATGGGTAAAGTGTTTTTAAAAAAGTATTCTAAATAATTTACCGTCTCTTATATCATATAACTTAAGAAACTTAATATAATACAACTTTAATATACGTAAAATAGTTTTATCCCTGACTAGAATTTGTTTCTGTTTAGGACACATCTTTTTAAATAATTTAAAAATTTTGACTCACTTGAAAATGTAAGTTTTTCCACAGGTATAGATATCAAGAGCCCTATTCCAAAGGAGCTGTACAAAAATATGCCATAAAAGTAATGAACAAAGCTCATTGTGCTTTTTGAAAATGTGCTAATGAATAGACATTCATAGAGCCGTCTGAGCATTTGAAACCATTCTGTTGTGAACACAATAAGAACAGGAAGAGCACTGTCATTAAAATCTGAGGAATTAAAATAAAACTGTTGAGGGTATTGTGTTTTTGTAATTGCTACGTTTCTTCTTCTCTTCTTCTTCTATTTAATTTTTGTTAAGGGCTCACGATCAATTTATTGATCGTTCTGGCTCTTATGCAGGTAGAGGGGATTTGCAATGTTTCTGTGCCTGGTGTTGATGAGGATATTTCACTGGTTGCAAGAGCTACTTAGTGAGGTTATCAGGAACTAGAGATTGTAAGGCCCGAGGCAATAGACGCAAATTTGTCAAGTATTAGCGCCTCAATTGTTCCTTTTGGCAGGAATGAGCAGTTCCTATACTGGCTTCTCCCTGGTATGAGCCGGAACTGCCTGTCATGGCCTCATCGCTATCTATGGGGGAGAGGGATGAGTTTCTGTTTAGTACTGGAGCAGTGGACCAGCTCATTACAGTGGAACCTCTCATAACGAGAAATTTGCATAACGAGTAAAAAATAAAGTGTGAAGAAGTTGCTCCCTTAATGAGCGATATTCGCATAACGCATGACGCAGAAAGGGTAAGTTCCTTTTTCCTGACATTCATTAGTGAGCCGGGGCATTAGTCCAGCGGTTCTCAATCTGTGGGTCGTGACCCCCTTTGGGGGTAGCGCGGCCCTTTCCCAGGGGTCGCCTTAGACTATCTGAAAAAACATATTCTTACAGCTATGAAGTAGCAACGAAAATAATTAGTATGGGAAAAATTGCTTCGTTTAACGAGTAAGAGTCTGGAGTTAATTAAACTCGTTATGAGAGGTTCCACTGTAGTTATCTTGTACATCATGGAGAGCCTGGATAGTTTTCATCATTCCTCCAATAGTGACCAGCCTAGTGTTTCCAGCATGCTGCCAACACTAAGAGATATTCCTGTAGCGGTTCAGGACAAAGCGGGCTGCCTGTTGCTGAACCGCCTTCCACCTCTCAATGCTTTTCTGGGTAAATGGGTCCCAGACTGAAGATGCATAATCTAAAAGCGGCCGGACAAAGGCTTTACATGCTCTTTCTTTCTTACTGAATTGAATAATTATATAGCGCTTGTATCCATGCTACTTTAACATGCTCACAGCGCTCTGATGTTCTTAAATCTATTTAAATAAAAAAGAACCCCAGGGTCTTGTTTGCCTGGTTGTACACATTGTTATAATGCTCATCCCAGCGGACTTCTCTTTGAATGGCAACACCCAGGTACCTTACGGAGGAAACTGGCTCAAGTATATGGCCATGCACTTCGTAATGGTGACTTAGAGGATTACAACTTATAGAGACTGACAGCGTCTGGCAATTGGCAGGATGAAATTCCATGTCCCAGCTCATCTCCCGCTCAGCTAACTGATTGAAATCCTGTCGTAGCTGGTCCTGATCATACCTGTTGGCGATCGTCCTATACACCGCTGTGTCATCTGCAAAAAGTCTTGCTTGGGATGTCAGTTTCTCGGGTAGGTCATTGATGTATGATAGGAATAAAGAGGGACCTAGCACCGACCTCTGGGGGACCTCGGACCCCTGACTTAACTCTGACAAAGGAGGAGCTTGTACCGTCCCCCACTACTGCCTGGCATCGGTTGCTGAGGAAGCTAGAGATCAATGTTTTAGTAGTGCCTTGAATACCATATCTCTGAAGTTTATGTAGAAGCAAACCATCATTGATCCGGTCAAATGCCTTTGAGAAGTCCATCACCAGCACTTCAGTTTGCTTGCTGTTCTCCAGATGGGTCATCAAGTCTCCTACAAATTGAAGGAGCTGGGTCTCACATGATCTATTGAATCGGAAGCCATGTTGACAGTCATTGAGTATATTTTGGCTTTCAAGGTGTTTCTCCAGTCTGCTGGAACATTTCCTGTGCACAGTAATGAGTGGAAGAGGATCATCGGTGCAGGAGCCATTTCTTTGATCACTCGTGGTTTGATGTTGTCAGGACCCCATGGGGATAAGGGTTTTGAGGAGGGCAAGCACACCGCCCCCCCCCCCACTGAAATCTGGATATCTTCCAGGAAGGGGTAGGCTCTGTTCATCATGTTGGTCTTCAGAAGGAACCCAGATTGATGGTGTCAGGACCCCATGGGGATAAGGGTTTTGGGGAGGGCAAGCACACCGCCCCCCCCCCCCCACTGAAATCTGGATATCTTCCAGGAAGGGGTAGGCTCTGTTCATCATGTTGGTCTTCAGAAGGAACCCAGCCTCGGAGTGCTCTCTAGCGTCACCAAAGACTGACTGGAACTGCCGAAATGTTAGCCTGTGCTTTTGGGTCAGATGTCAAATGGCCATCCCACCTCAGGGGGAAACTCCAGCGCTTAAGGACTTTTGGTGCTTCACATAGCTCCAGAAACATAGCTGTTCTTGACACCTTTAGCCAGAGTGTCTTCCTCTGAGAAGATGCCATTCAGGTAGTTCCAGTAAGATCTGTGTTTACTTCATGTGATAGGAAAATATAAACTTAACGATAAAACCAAGTGAAATAGAGAAAAACTGGCCTTAACTGAAAAGGATTTATCCTAGAGATGAGAATCAAAACAAACCCCAGCAGAACATACCAAGCTAACACCCCGCTTATGGCTGAACTGAACCCATTCTTAAAAACTCTTATCAAAGCTTTAAACTTCATTATGTAATTGTTAAATATGAGTTGGGCAAAAACAGGAATAGCTGTGCAAGCAAAGACAACTCAAATACTTGGCAATATCTACAATATGCTGACACCAAATATAGCTAACGGAAAAAAACTTTGTGACCCATAATGGTCACAACTTGAAATCAGCCTATCGCAATGACGCCAGGATTAGCTGTACAACATCAACTAAAATTATTTTTAATTTATTCAAACCAATGAAGCCCAACTTACAGTTACATCAAAAGCACTTTTACACACGTTATTGCAGGTTCCCCCCCAAAAAAAAACAAAAAATCAAAACCTATTATGCATTACGTCAGAAAATTTGGCCTCGTTTTAAAAATTGCAATTAATCACCCAAAGAAAAATTAATTTACAACATCCAATCAGCATGTTCATATTTTAAAAAAAGGTAAGTCAACTCTAGTAACAATCCCAGAATAAACAAAAGGAAGAAAATCCTACCCTGAAGCTCAAAGTGGCATGCCGAACGTAAATTGACCCAAACAACTATAAGAGGGTCTGATTACCATCTCTAATTTATCCCATTTTCAATTTGGTTTATCTAAAATTAATTGCAATAGACATACACTTAGTAATACTTGATTGACATTGTCCTCAGTTATGTAATCATGATAAAAAATAAATAACTTGTCAGTTTAAAAAAAATAATTAAAATGGAAATAATAGGTGAACAGTTGATTATTTAATGAAACTTCTTATCAATTTAAATATGCTTCAACTTACTTTTCTCTGAATTTTGTGATGCACCCCAAATTGCCCAGTATTGGAGATTTCTTATTAGGTTGGAGACCGGACTACCAAACAGGCAAAAAACAAGAAAAATGAACACAAAGCTGTGGACAACCAATCCAACTGCATAGAAATGAGTAAACCAGCTGAAAGATGAAAAACACACAATTAAAAATGAATAAGTCTAAACATTGGATAAATTATTGATCATTTAACTTCTTTTACATATAAAAACAGAAATCATGGCTAAGGCAATGAAACAATTCAACATGTCATCAGGCCTCATGCGCCACAAGTGGCATAGATTGCCCAACCCTAAGAAAAAACTTTTTTGTATGCCCATTGGTCTATATTTATTGAGGTAGATTTTAATAATTTTTTTTCTTCTTTATATTTATATTAAGGGTCATTATTACGATAGTCTCTTTCATAAATTCATTTAGTCTCTTCACCCAGCTACATAACTTTCCTTAACTTAATGCTTCATAAACTATAATTTGAGAAGAAAACCTCAGGAGGCATGGCTCATGTCACACAATGAGTCAGATGCTGGGTGACCGAATGATCTAAACTGAGTCAATTACAAGCTAGTGGACTCAATTCCCAGCAAAAGCAAAAACATCACCAGCAACCCGGGTTGATTGGACTTGGACTGCAACTCATCTAAGAGAAGGCAAACTCTAAAATCAAACCCGGAAATGGAATGCGCAGGTGGTATGACATCACGATGAAAATTCTGACAACTCCTGCGACACAGATTGTATAAAGAGCATAGTGAAACACACAAGACAGACTGATGGTCATCTATGCATCATCTATTTCCAGTTGTCTTGACCAAGTCTTGCCATTGGATCAAATAGTTAAGGATGAGAGAGTGCAGCTGACAAAATTAGCAACTCTCCCTTCTTTTTTAAAATCAAAGTCATTGCAATGAAGGTTGGGGCTGTGTAAAAAACACACATGTGCAAAAGGAGGGGAAAGGGAGAGCTCATACTGGTTTAGCTATTTACCGACACAAACAAAAATAGGACGAATAAGTTAAAATTAAACATAAATTTTGTGGTGAATGTAGCTACTTTATCATGTTCATCTAGTAGATATTTGGCAACGACCAATTAATTAGAGCCAATACATGCTCGTTTCCCTCAATAAAAACAAACAATACAAAACAATTTTTTAAAATAAAAGCGTAACTGACAGTTTCATAGCATACACTTTAAGACACTTTATTTGAGGTTCCACCAAAAAGAAAATCCAAAAGTTGTCAGAAAGTCCATCAAATACAATAATTAACCACTTTTTCAAAAATTAACCAATGAATAAAATGTAAAAAAATTCCATCCTTGTATTAAAGTTGGCTAATGCATACAGATGTCGCCATGACGCCATTTACATGTTTTTTGTTAAGTTTCTGTTTTGGATTCACTCACCTTAATTTTTTGTTAATAGAGTTACATTTTCCTTAATATGAGGATGGCATGTTTTAATTAAATTTTTATTGGTAAATTAGTTATAATTTTAAATTTCATTGATTGGGTAATTATATTAATTTTTTTTTGCCATATTTGAAAATGGGGAAAATGAATTTGGCATGGACATGCTTTGTATTTTATTAATTTTCTGGATATTCTTTTCGTTGGAAATAAAATGTGTAAAAATGTATTTCATGAAACTGTAAGTTGGGTTTTCATTATTTCTTTATTTTATAATAATTTTTGTTTTCTTCATTTTGATAGTTTTCTTGCCACAGTGTGTAAGTGCAATGTGTCTTTTAATTGAGGCTTCAGGGATACATTTAGGGTTCAGGTTAGGGATACATTTAGGGTTCAGGTTAGGTTTAGGGATAAATTTTAGGGTTCAGGGTAGGTTTAGTGACAGTGATATATTTTGTGTGTGTACCGACTGAATTAGGCGAGGAAAGGGGCAACCGCTTCTTGCCAAATATCTAGACGGACACAATAAAGTAGCTACATTCACCACCAAATTTATGAACCAGAGGACATATTGAATTTTAATGTTTTATTCTTAATTTTATCAAACGTGATATATTTTAATTTTACACGGCCACCGTCTTGGTTGCTGCGACCCATGAATATATATAAGTTCACGAGACGTGGCAGCCAAGATGGCAGCCATGTATTACGTCACGGAGACATCTCTTTGCATTTACTAGAAAGTTAACTCAAGTAACAATACAAAGATTAACAAAAGGGAGAGAATCCTACACATACACATTACATTTACATGGTGCGGATGGCGGAAATTGACCAACTATGCTAAAAGAACTAAGAATAAGTGGAAAGTTCTGTTAAAAGTTAAACTTAAACTACTCCTAGGCCTAGGTAATTTGTCAACAGTCAAGTTGAGTCAAGTCAATTAAAATTTGGCATGCTGTGTGTTCGGCGACCAAGTCACATGACCGCCGTAACAAAGTGGCGAGAGATATCTTGTCGGTCAGCCTTGTCACGTGACTGCGAATAATTCAAAACTATTGTTAATTTTAAAATCTATTTCTCTACCAAGTAATGTACTGAGTATCTTGAATGCAAATAATAGAAAAAGAAACTTAAGTGAAAGTGGCTTGTAAACATTTTTGTTTAGTTTGGTTTGTTATTTTTTGTGTACCAGTAATCCATAAAATAAATTAGGGGCCAGTGTGGCAACCAATAAAAGTTAAAGATTTCATTTTAAATTATTTCAATTGCTACAAAATATTTAAAAACTTCTCATGAAACTACTGTTGCTGAGGAACATGATAATATAAATATATACAAAATATTTTAATTAAAATGGGAAGAAAAAAAATGACCCTATCCCCGGTATAGATCCTCAAACATTCCTATCATCAAGCAACCACTCTACCACAAGACCAGACAAGATGTACTAAATCGTACTTCGTTTGGAATTATAAAAACTACTAGCCGTCCGGCCATGTCCGGTGGTCACGTGACAAGTCGCCGGACGTGTATCTTGTGCACTACACGTCGTTAAAATTTACCTTTTGGGTATTGTTGTTAACCATGGATTTGAATCTTCTGTTGTCAAGTGACGTTCGCCCTTGATGTTGTGAAAACTTTTTACCTTACCAAACAAAAATAAATTCTTCAACAAGCTAAGAATATTATTCATGTCCTGTCTCAGCGTCAAGAGGAGATGAGTGCAAAATATTGCTATTGATGACAGCACCCAAAATAAGGAAATGATATTTATTCCCGAAATCATTTTTAGCGCACAATAAACAACACAATCTTCACGGCTGAAATAATTATTTTAAATGACTCATTTACCAGAGAATACGACTATGGCATGGGCATTATAATGTTATGTCAGTATAATAGTAATAATACGATACTGTTAAGTTGTTTTGCATCTCTAATCTTAACCATCCTACTCAGATGTAGCATGTTATAATTGTCCTACAGTCTTTAACAGTTGAAAATACATTTAAGTATATGCCAGTTTTTTTACATTCAAATGGTAATATAGTTTCTGTGTTTCTTAAGTTTTTAATTTAAATGTCTATTTATTGACGACATGTCTATATGAACTATCTGTTAGTGCTACTTTATAAACAATAACAAAATTATGTATGATCATAACAAAAGGTACATGACTTAATACTTTATAAATCCACATATTTTTTTTAGCAAATATGTATGTCCAGGGAAGTTTTATTTAAAAGAGGTGATGCAGACATAGCAAATATTTTTTTTTTAAAATAAGAAAAAACTTTTTTTGTATGCCCATTGGTCTAATTTATTGAGGTAGATTTTAATAAATGTTTTTCTTCTTTATATTTATATTAAGGCTCATTATTACGATTAGGATTATAGACATATTTGTTAACTTGGGTCAGAGTTAAACTTGTGATGAGACCATAGACTTAGTTGAGTAGAATCAATGTGTAATTAAATTTTAAATGAAGGAATTGTTTATGAAAGGAATTTTGCATGATCAATGATAGCGATACTAATTACTAGTCACTTGTGATAGGTAAATTATTTATTTCTTTATTTTTAAACGTCGTTTTATTTATTTGTCCCATTAAAATTATATCATCCCTTCCTCTGATTTATTTATTTTTTCTGTTTCATTTCCACTTACTACTTGCATATTATTTAAATAAAAAATCAATGTTAAATATATTTTTAATTGAATTTTCTTTTTTTTTTTCCTTTTTCTTTTTAAAGCCGTCCGTGTTCATAGTTTTGTTTCGTGTATAAGATTACATTTTTTATTTTATTGCATACTCGCAACATTCAGACCGCGGTCGGTACGTCTCGAAGATCAACAAACAGGCAGGTGGCAACACGTTTATAATCGTCTTCATTCAGTCATGGTAAGTTGACATACATTTCTTTCATTAAATATGCTACTTTCAATCAATTAAATAATCAGCTAAATGGCTATCATAGTTAAAACTATTATATAATTCTGACCGCAATAAATTACGCACAAAAAGTAAGGACTGGAAAAAATGGCGAAGCGTCATTGACGACGTCTAAACTAAGTTAAGAATCCAAAACGAATATTGAATTTTTTATTATATTTCTTATAATACTCAGCTAAGGATGGCCTAAGGGGCAGTCCAGTCCATAAATTAATAGGTAGTCTTGCAGTTCAGGTGCATATATTATTTCTGATAGAATGTTGTATTATCGCATGTAAACATGTGTTACGTGTTACATTACATGTATTCTTCATTAAATTAAATTCAGGCAGTGATAGTTAACTAATACTGAATTATGCAGCACTTATTTTCGTTTTATATTATTTCTAAAGGTCCTTTGAACATCCCCCAACCTTCCATAGCTCCATTTGTATTGTTGGTTGTTTTTTTTCACCCTGTTGCCAGATTTTTTTTATCACCTATAAGTTGGTAAGCTAAACGAAATGTTCAAATTGTAGGCATGGTTACAAAAAAGAATGAAATATGGGGGGGGGGGGGGGTTAATCTTAGTGGGTTGTTTTTTTTTTGAGAGGGGGCCAAAAATTTTTTTTTTTTTTTTTTTTTATGGGGTGTATAAATATAATTCCAAACAAAGGCTCCTGAATGGGTATGGGTGAATGGTACAAGATCAAACTTAGTACACATACACTTGATTATCCATATTATTCAATAACCAGTACTAATAAAGATCAATACTCGGAGGTCGAGATTCTATCTCTTATGACCTTGGCCGTGAAACATAGCCTAGTAGTCCCTGGGGACTCCGGCCATGCAACTCGGCCTTGGGTAACGTGGTTTTGGGCAGGTTTCTTCCACCCATGAGGGAGCAGTTTTGCGTCACAGTCCCCCTTGCCCATTGAGTCTTACGGTCGGGACGTAGGGTTGGAACAGCTTTGCTTCCTCTCCGGAGATGGCGTTACATTGCCACCCCCACCGCCCGGGGAGCTGTACGTTCCTTGGTATGGGACGGCTTTGCTTCCACTCCGGGAGTAGTCATGAGCTTAACTTTCTCCCACTGTTCCTACGAGTTGTGGACTTATGGTTCCCAACGATTTTTTTCCCTCCGGGGAAGCGTAGCGTTGCCTCAAACTCGCTGTTCCGGGAGCGGTTCGGTCTGGACTGTGAAGGGTCAAAACGGCTTTTACTTCCTCTCCGGGGGAGGCGTTGCGTTACCTCAACCCACCTTCGGGGAGTGGTTCGGTCTGGATGTAGCGGGGACGAAACGGTCGCATAGGGGCAGCTTTCTCAGGGCCGCGTCTTTTTAATCATTGACAAGGGATTGGGCGGCCACCCACTGCCTCATACCCATCAACGGCAACAGGTAATCATGTTAGCGCTTAAACTTCAGTTGCGTTAGAAGTCATGCGTTTTGCCTGGGATCTTTTAGCTTCAGAAGGAGAAACTCCCCCCTACTAGTCAGGCACGCCACGAAGAGGCAAGATCCCGTGTAACACCACCGAGAGCTTGTGGTGCTGGGCAAGGATTTTCCAGAGGTCCACCCCTAACCCGCCTGAATAACCAGTACTGAAGGGTAAAGAACTGAAGTACTTTCATTGCAAATATCCTCGAGGCCATTGGCAAGATGGCCACTGGGTGTTGGGCAGCATGGAGCGTGGCACGGGTAAATGCTTTCTCATCGAGGTTTTCAGACCGCACAGCTGCTACACTTGAGCCGTTAATTAAATAATTTTGGTATAGTTTAATATAAATCTAATTTCTTGTTTCGTTTTTTTGTGAATATGCTTTCAGTTGAAAAATTGCAATCTGGGATGTAGGGGGAAATGGAAAATTGCAATCTGGCATTTATGGTGAATTTAAAAAAAAACAACAAGAAAATGGAGAGATCGTTTACGCTACCGGCTATGTACACGTGGGGGCTGTAAAAATCAATAAAAAGAAAAGTTAGTGCTATACAATTTAGTATTAATGTTAACTAATACTGTCTAGACTAAATTTTATAAAGAATACACATAAGTTTACACACGATAATACAAAAGTTTATCAGAAATAATATACGCACCTGAACTGTAAGATTACCAATTAATAATTATGTAAACATTTTTTAAAGCAAGGTTTTAAAATTGTTCTGAGGCTGATTCTGATGATCATTGAAATGATCCAATTTCAACAACTCAACTAACTGACAGCAAATTTTTCTTTGAGTTAATGAGTTAAAGTTAATGCTTGTCTTACAGCAGACCTGCACAACATATGGCCCAAGGGCCGCAAAGTACCTACTTTGCGGCCCGCAAAGTAATGAATTATTTTTTTTAATTATTATTTTCTTAATAGCTTTTCCCCGTGTCCTATTTTCTTTCGGCCGGCACAAGTTGTCCATAAAGTATTACCGCCTGCCTTACATTTTGAGTTTTGCACAGCCTGTCTTCAAGTTGGAGTTTAGTTTTAACTCCTGCTGCACATTTATTGTGATGTTATAAACATGATTTTAACTAATCCGTAAACTTCAATTATTTATTAAACATTGAATCTGAAATTTGATTTGATTGTCATTTAAAGTTAGCTTCCCTAATTTTAGGTAGTAATACTGAATGTAAATGTAATGCAAAATTGCAGTAAAGAGAGTTTTAATCTAAGCCATTACCAATGTTGCTTCAAAACTGTGTGCTTAAAAGAAATTTCACTGTCCCTTCATTCTTTACATCTTAGTCAAACTTTAAAAAGACATCATTAGCTGGTGGGGGCCGCAAAAAGACTGGCCCAAGACCAGAGCTGACAGAAGAACAGAAGCAGGAGATCCGAGAAGCTTTTGATCTTTTTGATGCTGATGGCTCTGGTACTATTGATGCAAAAGAACTAAAGGTATGTAATTTTTATGTATGTTTAACTTATAAATTTGACACTTAAAACTCAAATAAATCATTTCAAAAAGCTTTATTAAATTTAATTTTATCTACAACATCGGACATACTTGAATGTTTAATAACAGGGCAAAGACAGTTTCAATGTTTGTTATGTTATTATTTTGTATTCAAAATGTCCATTAAGTGTTTATTTACAACACATAAAATGATTATATTTTGCCATCGTGTACGGTTTATATCCTTTATTTGTCACATTTTAGGTTGCCATGAGGGCTCTTGGCTTTGAACCTAAAAAAGAAGAGATTAAAAAGTTGATTGCTGAAATTGATAAAGACTCATCTGGTAATACTCAATGATGACTTAAAATCAATCAATCTAAAAGTTTATTATGGAATTGGAAATTTATCTGTATAACTAGAGATTCATATGGTGTATCTGTATAACTAGAGATTCATACAAATCTATTCCTTTAGTTTGAGCGACTTATGATAATAAAGTTATTATCAAGTTTCAAGCCCCCACAGCCATCAAAGGGTAACATCTTAAAATGACCCCTGACAGAAATAATTTTTCTAACTCAATGTATAAGATATTCCTTGTTTAGTTTAAATTTTTAAAACACAATATTTATATGTGGAGTAAGTTGGCATATCTTCTTACCCTAACTCTAAAGGCAAATTACATAGCAAAATTAACTTCCAGCTTTTTAAAAATCTTTACATATGAAAAGTATTTATTTGAGCTCCGAAAAAAATAAAATAATTTGAATGTCTTATTGAAAGAAAATCACAGCAAACATATTTGAAAATATTTTGTATTCATTATCCAGGTAATATTGACTTCAATGAGTTTTTACAATTAATGACTTGCAAAATGAGTGAGAAGGACTCAAGGGAGGAAATCCTTAAAGCATTCCGTCTATTTGATGATGATGAAACTGGAAAAATTTCATTTCGTAATTTGAAGAGGGTGGCAAAAGAATTAGGAGAAAATATGACTGATGAGGAATTACAGGTAATTGTAAATGTTCAATTTTTTAAAAATTTATACAAATAGAAATCAAATTGATACAATTTTTTTTTCCTGCAATTTGGACATTCAGCTTTACATTTTATTTTATAAAACACATTTGAAATTAGAAGTCTAGATGTATCCCCTTAACCCAGGAGCTGTCATAATGGTTGATCATTTATAAAAAGGCCCCAGCAATCAGTATGGTTTCGAGTTAAGATAAACTGTAGCACCATTGTACTCACTGTTGAAAGGTCAAAGTAATATTCATTTCACATAGCTCACAGAACTCCAACATTCATGCCATAGGATTCCTTGTCATATTTACTCTCAGAGTATCTATACTTACATGGGTCTATGGACACATAGCTCACAGCACTCCAACATTCATGCCATAGGATTCCTTGTCATATTTACTCTCAGAGTATCTATACTTACATGGGTCTATGGACACATAGCTCACAGCACTTCAATAATCATGCCATAGGATTCCTTGTCATATTTACTCTCAGAGTATCTATACTTACATGGATCTATGGACACATAGCTCACAGCACTCCAACATTCATGCCATAGGATTCCTTGTCATATTTACTCTCAGAGTATCTATACTTAGATGGGTCTATGGATGTATTTTCTATTAGTTTTGTTTGTTTGAGTGATACATGTCAAAGTTAGTAAAAAGCAGTGTTGACACCACAGCACGTTTGTAGTTGACACCACAGCACGTTTGTAGTTGACACCACAGCACGTTTGTAGTTGACAGTTCGTGGGTTAAGAGAAATCCCAAAGTTTTCTACATTTTTCAATAAAGACATTTAATATAAGATTTTGCTGTATAACGGAAATGATATAAACATACTGGTATGAGTTGTGCCACATGATCCACTGAACTGTTGCCTATCCACAGGAAATGATTGATGAGGCAGATAGAGATGGTGATGGGGAGATCAATCAGGAAGAGTTTTTAAGAATCATGAAAAAGACTAGTTTATACTGAGTTCTCTCCTCTCATTCCCTCATGTTGTTATCAATGATAAAGTATCAATCAGTGTATCAATCAGTTCATTCAATGATGAATGTGGTTTAAAAGGTTACGTGTTAGCAGTAAAAGTAAATGTGTCAACTGTAGAGTTTTTGCAGGGTATGACTGATTTTTATACTTGTGGTGAATAGATTTCAGTGCTGGTTTTTTCCGAACTTTGACTGTTTGTTGTCCACAAAATGTTGGTTTTTTTTAAACTTGGCGTGTTTGAAATAGGCAAATAATATTGTCTTTTTGATTACTCTTTATGTTGTTTTTTTTTTCCACATTTGTCTCGTTATTTATAACTGTATATAAACAAATAAGCTGGCTCTGACATTTTTTTGCGGAGGTCCACATTGACAAATGTAAAGCAATTGGGGGGCCGCAGGTATATTATTTCCAATTTTTAGATTAACATTTCTCTATATTAAAATGGGTAAATTCACATTTTAGCATTACATGACAACAGTTAAGGACTGTTTAAAAAATTAAAAAGTTGGAATGAAATTTTATAAAAAATGTTAAAACAATCATTACGGGACATGAAATACTGTAAAATTCAACAAAATAACTTAAAAACAAAGTATTTTTTAAAATTTATAAATGCCTTGAGGGCTGCATAATATCAGTAGCCGGCCGTAGTTTGCCCACCCCTGCCTCAGAGTAATCAAAATAATTATAAGCCCTTTTCTTTAATTCCTAAGAACTTTTTCCCCTCACTGTAATTAAATATATATTTTCTGTAAACATTTCATTGTTTAGCATGCAACCTAGAATATGAAAAACACATATTTTTTTTTCAACAGGCAATTGTAACCAATGTTAACATTCCTTGTTTTTTTGTGGGGACCAATAAATTCAAAAGAAGATATTACACCACTGGACCGATTCTTTAGATTTAATTATTAGTTGAAACATATGTGGGAGGAACAATTTATTTTGGGGGAGATCTGCTACATGGGATTTTACAAATCAAACATTTGCAGCATTATTTTCTAATTTATTTAAAATCTAGTTTGGAAAATAAATATTTGATGACGAGGACTTCGAATTATTTAAGTTGAAATGGACTAACAGTGTGATGAGAGATATTGCATACATCAGATGGTTTTATGGACTTCAGATCTGTTAAAATGATCTCCCTTTTTATGGGCACCAACTCCCACCCCCTTTAGATTTATGAATTAAGCCTCTTTCCTTACGTAATTTAATGCTGTTCAGTGTGTAAATATAAGTTGAGTTTCCAAGATGTTCAATGTTTTAGCATTGTCTGCCCTTGTCATTATTAAACTGTTGGACACCTGCTGTCCACCACCATCACCAAGTTGGCCAAGTGAGTACTGGTAGTTATTGTGTGGTCCTCTGTAATATTTTATATTTAACTTGATTGAGCAAGTGTGTTGACCAGGTTGACCAGCCAAATGAAACAATAAAGTCTCAGTGCTAAACTACCACTCTCTTTTTCTTTGATGATGACTGCGACCCAATATTCTGAATCACTGTCTTTAACTTAGAAGGACAATTAAAAGTTTTTATACCAAAATCTTGGACTTAGTTTTGTTTTTCTGTTGCAATTATTTTAATAAATTTATTGTTCCAGATTTTTAGTTTTTTTTTAAATTTATTTTCTTTTATTGTAAAATGTCAATTATTTCTCAGTGGTTGCAGCCCTTGTCCTTTCCGGAATAACTTTTTAATTAATTCAAGTTTGCCGATTTTTAATTTTTAGTCTTTCATCACATTAAACTTATTATAGCTCTGGTTGGCAGAGGGCTAAAGAGCAGACTTTCTTGATCTCATGACCTCTTAGCCTTTAACATTTTAAGTGGCTTCTCACATCAAGCCATCACTAGTGAAGCAGTCTTATCAACCCATCTCTTATGTAGCAGTCATATCAATCCAACTCATATGTAGGAGTCATATCAATCCAACTCATATGTAGCAGTCATATCAATCCATCTCATATGAAGCAGTCATCAATCCATCTCATATGAAGCAGTCATATCAACCCATCTCATAATGCAGCAGTCATATCAGTCCATCACATCTGTAGCAGTCATATCGGTCCAACTCATATGCACAGTCATATCAGTCCATCAACACTTTAGCAGCTATATCAAGCCATGACATCCATAACAGCTATAACATCACCACTACAGCAGCTATATCAAGCAAAGACATCCCTAGCAGCTATAATATCACCACTATAGCAGCTATATCAATTCATGACATCTGTAGCAACTATATCAATCCATCTCATATATAGCAACTATATCAATCCATCTCATATATAGCAGCTATATCAATCCATCACATATATAGCTGCTATATCAATCCATCACATATATAGCTGCTATATCAATCCATCTCATATATAGCAGCTATATCAATCCATCTCATATATAGCAGCTATATCAATCCATCACATATATAGCTGCTATATCAATCCATCACATATATAGCTGCTATATCAATCCATCACATATATAGCTGCTAGATCAATCCATCACATATATAGCAGCTAGATCAATCCATCACATCTAGTAAAAGTCTTCTACAGCAGTGTCCCCTAAAGTGGCAGGTCACAACATGAGAGAAGAAAATGGATCAAAGTTAAATCAAGTTGAACAGTCAAAACAACAATGAAAGACCTGGTAACGTCTAGCAATCAAAGGTCATAGTTTATAGAGTCATCTTTCATTAGCTGATCATGGATTCAAAATACTTTATGACGTATTCGAAGTCAAATAAAATAGATTATAATTAATATGTCCTGAACGAGTGGGGGGGGGGGTCTATGTGAAAACTTGTATCCCCGTTCTCCAAGCTCACAATGTTATACAGCAGACAGATATATTTTCATAAATCACCTCCCCAAAAAAGAATTAAACAGTAATGATAAAGAAACCAAGAGCTAAGTTTGAGCTTAACACTTTGAAGAATTGTGGACTAAACAAATAGGAAATTAAAGTTGACTGGATGGGAAATCTGAAGCTAAGGGCGGTAATAGCAAACTACAACAAAATATGGAAAATAAAGGATTATATTCCTTTTAACGCTGTTCTTGTTTATGTTCAATTCAGTATATAAAATGTTAAGGGATTTTTCAACTATTTATAACAGAATGTATTAACCTGATTTAATTCAGTTGACCAATTTCTCTGTAGATGTTGTTTCAGATAACCGCGAGATCACTGTATTTTAAGTAGGGATGTCAGTAGAAAACTAACGCATTCCATTCTAATTTCTTTGATGCAAAATTATATACTTCAACAGCTCGTGACACTGGCGTATGAAAAAGGGTGGGGGAGGGGGGGAGAGAGTGGGGGGGGGGTAGGGTTCCGATCCCGATGGCACTTATTTTCCTTAAAATGAGGGGTGCACTCTCGGCCATCTGCGAGTGTTTTGTCGAAAGGGGAGTCAAAAAACTTGGGTGGCGCCAACCCTAGATAGCTACGCCACTGGCTCGTGACACTCATCTCTATTTGTAGGATACACTTCACAAACTGCCCATTCTAATCACACGTATCATAAACCGGCTGTGTATAGAAACGACAGTTCAAAGCCATCTTCCAGTTCACTTAACACATTCCAAAATTCTGAAAATTGCAATAAAATTCATCACATATGGAGTTATGCCTGTCCCGATGGAGGCCCAAAGTGGTACTTTTCAGGTGATAAAATATTTTTTTTTTTTTAAAATTCAAAGTCCTTTGTATCAGGTTAACTTCTTTTTTTTTCAAATCTATTATTTTGTATAATGTTCTTATAAATATTTAAATTGTTTATTATGAACAGATTACAGCGTATTTAGCAAGAGGCAAACACTTCGCAACACTTCAAACTTGAACAATTACAAGTAAAAATGGGGCTTCCCCCATTCCCCCGCCCCCCCCCCGGTCTCTCTTTACACGTGCAAGTCGTCTGCAACACCAGAAGTGGGCGGGGCAAACGTCGATAAAACTGTCGGACAGTACCGCTACATGGGAGCGTTGCAGCCGGAGTTGCGCACGGTGCTCGGGAAATGATGGACGAATTCCGAATAATTTTCGATAAATCCATCCTCAGATGTCAGGGGACCGACGGCCTGCCCGACGTGAGCGCCTGCAGAGACACGGGGCGAGGTCGGGCGAGAACTCGTCTGCAGTTTGTCAATGCCGGTGTACGGTTGACATGGGCGGGCACAACTTGTCTCAATTATCTTGTGACCCAGTCGCCTGCTCCCATCGGTCGCCCCATGGTTGGGGAGGGGAGGGGGTGGTGTTAAAGATTTATGTTGTTTAAAGCTGGGATACCAGATTGTCTTTTGTCTACCTAAAAAATCTTAGCGATGTATGGGGATCTTAAGCTGGGATACCAGATTGTCTTTTGTCTATCCACAATGTTAGCGATGTATGGGGGACCATAAGCTGGGATACCAGATTGTCTTTTGTCTACCTAAAAAATCTTAGCGATGTATGGGGATCTTACTCTGGGATACCAGATTGTCTTTTGTCTACCTACAATGTTGGCGATGTAGGGGGACCATAAGCTGTGATACCAGATTGTCTTTTGTCTACCTACAATGTTGGCGATGTATGGGGGACCATAAGCTGGGATACCAGATTGTCTTTTGTCTACCTACAATGTTGGCGATGTATGGGGACCATAAGCTGGGATACCAGATTGTCTTTTGTCTACCTACAATGTTGGCGATGTATGGGGCCCTAATTATAGATAGATTCGGGCAAGAAAAAGGGAAACAAAGAAGACTGTGGTCGGCAAGTTACTAGTGTTGTGTCCATCTCTCGGTGTATCGTGCGTTTGCCATTCAGTTAGAGAGTATGTTCGTCTGATGGCCTCGTGTAAACAAATAAACTTCCTTTGTGTGGCAGCGTGTGTGTTGTGAGTGTGTGTGTTGTGAGTCTGTGCGTTGTGAGTGTGGGTGTTGTGAGTGTGTGTGTTGTGAGTGTGTGTCTTCTTTACTATGGAATCACTTGGCCTTTCATTGAAATCAGGGGTTGACGAACTTTTCAACCCACGATTCCAAAATATATTATTTTGTTTACGCTAGAGCTACTCAAGATTTGAAAAGATGAAAGTCATAAACTCCATATATTTCAATTCAGAAGAGCCTATTGAATCTGTTTATGAAGAGAAATTAACTACCTATAAATATAAAAAGTACAGAATAAATTTTTAAAATAAATTAATAAAATCCTGGTTTTTGTAAAAAAAAAAAAAAAAATATTTTTTTAAAAAAAAATTTAACTATTGAATCTGTTTATGAAGAGAAATTAACTACCTATAAATATAAAAAGTACAGAATAAATTTTTAAAATAAATTAATAAAATCCTGGTTTTTGTAAAAAAAAAAAAAAAAAGATTGCTTTGAAAAAAAATTTAACTTACTTCAAATGTTGTTTCTATTTTATACAATGACGTCATCAAAATTGGGGGCTTTTTTTAAACCCAGAGAAATTTGGATACTATTTTTTGGTTAAAATAATTTATTTCTGTACCTTTTTCTTCTATGTTCATTAGATTGAAAAATCCCTGTTCGCAAAGGAATTATGTTTCAAAATTCAGCAATTTCTTGACTGCCTCTTCGTGAGCAATTTTGAAAAGCTGTGCATTTTTGGCATTTTGAGCATAAGCAGTTATGTATAACTAGGAAGTGCGAACTGCATCTGGGAACACTCCCAGGGGTTATACATCCTCACAGGGCGTAGACACCCTCTCAGAGCGTAGACACATTCTCAGAGCGTAGACACCCTCTCAGAACGTAGACACCCTCTCAGAGTGTACACACCCTCTCAGAGCGGGTAGGCTTTCTCGCAAGGGGATGGCCCAGAGGTGTAGCTAAAGGGGGAAGGGGCGCCAAAATGTGCTTTGATATTATTTTATTGATGAAAATAATGGGTTTGAGGGTTGGGAAAAGAAATGGAGGCGCTTCAAAAAGAATCTTGGCCCCCGGGCGCCAAGTACTGTAGCTACGCCTCTGGCATGGCCACCCCATTGGGGGTGAAATCAAATACAAACTAGTAGATTACACAAGTCGCTTTCATAACACATCCAAGTCAGTGTATCAGAAGAGCAGGGTGTCACCAAAATGGTGTACCATCAGAGCTCGTTCCCATATTATTATTATTAGTAGTAGTTTTATATAGCGCGGTACCCCAGCCTAGGGCTGGGCTCACCACGCTGAACATACAATTTAAAAGAACATATTCATGAACTTAAAAAATAAACATACATAAAATAAATAAAACAAAAAAAAATGTATATTCAATCCATCTATTCCAGAACTATTTACATGCCAAGCCATGGACGCCACCCAGCAGCATCGTTTATCGGTCAGAGGTGGGAATCAGTCAGGATGGTAATAGTTAAAAAAGATGTGATTTGAGTGCAGTTTTGAAGGCTGTGATGGTCGGTATATTGCGGATTTGTAGTGGAAGAGAATTCCATTGTTTGGGGGCACAGAAGGAGAAAGATCGTTCACCGTATGTTTTTGTTGGAGTCTTGGTGACAGAAAGAGGGTGTCTCCAGAGCAGGCTGAATCTGAGGGTGTCCATAAAGAAGTCTGGATGGGATGACACTGGGTGGAACCAATTCTTGCGACGCCACTGAGCATAGGATAAAATAGGTGACCAGTCAAAAATGACTTACACGAGACGTGAGAACTTACTTTCAAACAACTGGTAACCAAAAGTTATTTACTGCGTTTGGCTATTATATTTCATCATGAAGTGTTGTCAGGGGGGAAAAAAGCATTTCTGGCCTAAGGAAAACAAGGTGTTAATATAATTTAATGAATAAATGAATGTCTATTGAG